CAAATATATCCACACAGATCCACACACACACAGATACACAAACACACAGAGATACACACAAACATGCACACACAGACAGAAAAACAGATAGACAAACACACAAATAAACACAAAGATACACACACACACACACACACACACACACTAGCGTTCATTCTCTGATCGCTCTGTCTGCTTCAGGTAAACAAACACGCATTCTCCGGCGGGAAGGACACCATCGAGGAGCACAGGAAGTTGGGTGGAGATCCAGATGTGGACGTTTCCTTCATGTATCTGACGTTCTTCCTGGAGGACGATGAACAGCTGGAGAAGATCCGACAGGTGAGATGAGCGGGATGCAGCACACCTGAGGAGTCCTGCCTGCTGTCGCTCACACACCTGTGCTTGTGTTTCAGGACTACAGCAGCGGCGCCATGCTGACCGGCGAACTGAAGAAGAGTCTAATCGACACACTGCAGCCCATCATCGCTGAGCACCAGGAGAAACGCAAACACGTGACCGACGACATCGTGCAGCAGTTCATGACTCCACGCAAACTACACTTCAGCTGCTAGACTGACCCCAGAACTGTCCAATAAAGCGCTTCAGTAACCCAAGCAGACTCTGATGTGGTCAAACAGGTTTAATGTGGTCAGGCACACACAGCTGGAGCTGAACACAGGACAGAGTCAGTGCACATCACTGCTGAAACACACACACACACACACACACACACACACACACACACACACACACACACACTGATATATGCAAATGCCGATATGAGTCTCACAATGATCAAGTGTTCATTACAATAGACAGTTATCATCAGTTAAGCTGAGAACACACACACACACACACCTGCTCTGATTCTATAATACACACACAGTGAAGCGTGACGTTCCTCACACCCCTGACACATTCTGACTCATGTTTTAGTTCAAATGTAAATAATAGAGTGGCTCAGTGGTGTTAAACTGTCACTTCACAGCAAGAAGGTCTCTGGTTTGAGTCTCGGCTGGGTCAGTTGGTGTTTCTGTGTGGAGTTTGCATGTTCTCCCCGTGTTGGCGTGGGTTTCCTCCGGGTGCTCTGGTTTCCCCCACAGTCCAAACACATGCGCTATAGAGGAACTGATCAACTACACTGACCGTAGTGTATGAGTGTTTCCCAGTGATGGGTTCAGCTTGAAAAGCATCCGCTGTGTAAAAGATATGTTGGAATAGTTGGCAGTTCATTCTGCTGTAGCGACCTCTAATAAATAAAGGACTAAGCCAATGGAAAATGAATGTAAATAAAAGCTGAGAATATTATTCTCCCTCTCGTACATCGTCCTCTTATCTTTTGCAGTCTGGGTCAAAACAGCACTTGCTGGAGGAATAAAGTAACTATAAATTAGATTTGCTCAGGGGTATGGATCAGTTCAGGCGTCGCTATATACAGTGTGTGTTATATTCAGAACAGTTCCATATCATCATCATCATGCACAACGTCACATGTTGTAATTCTGGAGTTCACCTGTAGGCGGCAGCGCTTCACTATTTGTGAGAAACTGAGATCATTTCAACATCATGAAGCTGCAGACCCAGAGACCCAACCGCACACTCAGACGTTGCAAATTTACATTAATCTAAAACATGATTCAGAATGTGTCAGGGGTGTGAGTAATGTCCATCAGCACCATAACAGAGGTGAAGAACTGATCAGATGATGAAGGTGCATGAACTGACCGTGTACACCTGTATGCCGGTGCTGATGAAGCTGTAATATCTGCAGATGCATTAATCAAACTATCAAAGAGTAATCAAATTTGAGAGAGGCGTTTTAGGATATGAAGGGAATATACAGGTGTTATTTTCAAGCCGCTGAGAGAGATATGGAGATATTTCATATTTTATTCTTCGGCTAAAGTGCATGAAGGAAACTGTAATTTTGAGCTTTCATGTTCACATCAGCAAATCTTCTGTATCTGCGCTGATCAGCTGGGAATGAAAGGTGATTAAATCTGACTTGATGACAGATTAATAATGTCTCATGTCATTGTCCAGTGCTGAGTCGCATAATGATTATAATAATAATAATAATAATGGCTTTCCCAGAGATGGGTTGCAGCTGGAAGGGCATCCGCTGCGTAAAAACTTGCTGGATAAGTTGGCGGTTCATTCCGCTGTGGCGACCCCGGATTAATAAAGGGACTAAGCCGACAAGAAAATGAATGAATAATAATGGCTGCATGGTGGCTCAGTGGGTAGCACATTCACCTCACAGCAAGAAGGTCTCTGGTTTGAGTCTCGGCTGGGTCAGTTGGTGTTTCTGTGTGGAGTTTGCATGTTCTCCCCGTGTTGGTGTGGGTTTCCTCCGGGTGCTCCGGTTTCCCCCACAGTCCAAACACATGCAGTATAGGAGAATTGGTTAACTAAATTGTCTAGTGTGTGTGAATGCGTGTATGGATGTTTCCCGGTGATGGGTTGCAGCTGGAAGGGCATCGGCTGTGTAAACATATGCTAGATAAGTTGGCGGTTCATTCCACCATGGGGGCCGCTGATAAATAAAGTGACTAAGCTGAAAAGAAAATGAATGACTGATAATAATAATAGAATACTGATTAAATGTTAATCTAGTGAATGAAATGATATGTGCGACAGTAAGTTACGTCAGTAATGTTTTCAACATGCCCAGGGTCAACAATAAGGCCTGCCCGGTGGCCCAGGGGGAGCGTGAGAGATGCTTGGGACAGTGCAGGATCATTACTGGGCTGATGGGACAGTGCTGCATGTCACTAACATTTCACTTGTCTGCGACTATATTTGTCAGTTGCTCTCCTCTGCTGTTCATGTTTGCATAACACTTTTATTAACATTTTTAAAGTGTTGAAATTCGAGATTCACAGACTTTATTTTTGACACATTATTTAAAATATGCAGCTAAAAACAGCTATTCCCTATTTTTTTTGGTGGGGCCAAAGTAAAAATCTGAACTCCTGGCCCGATGGCCCAACCCTGATGCCGAACAGCTTCATTTTGATACGCAGATATTAATATATGAAAAAATAAAACTCTAATTTCCCTCGACTCACTTCACTCTGGAGGCTTGTTGATTATCAGTTCTGAGCTGTTTCAGTCAGGTCTGTGATATTAAAATGATGATATTGAGAGTGACTGATGCAGCTCAGCTGATGGAGGATCACACTAATATACAGCGCTCAGCATAAATGAGTTCACTCTCTTACTAACATTAATATTCTCCATTTCTCAGTCAGTATAGACTATATGTGTTATCACAGAGCAGTGTTATTAAACCGTTATACTCATTAAAATAAGAGTCTGATCACTGAGTGTCTTTAGGAATAAAAGATCAGACATTAAAGTTATTGCAAACAATATAAAAATTACTAAATGTCTTACATTTAATATTTCTCTTGATGGTTCCTGTTTATTAAAACTCTAATATTTCCCCATATATATGAATGTGTGTGTGCTGTGTTGTTGTCAGATGAGTGGATCAGTGTTGTCTTTGGTTCTGACTAATCTACTGTATCTGCACACACATGTATTACTGTAGAGCCTCCTGCAGAGAAGATTACTGTAGAGCAGAGCTCTGAGAGACTCATTCATGATCAGCGCTGTATATTAATGCTCATATTCCCTGTGTGCTTCAGTTATGAACGCTTTATAAACACTGTGTGAGGATCTGCTGAACAAAGAGCAGATCTGATGAGTGTGTTCAGCGCAGAAGGCGAACCACGGCTTCGTACATGGCGAAGACGGACATGTTGACGGGGAAGGCACGAATACAGTTTACAGTCAGGCCTCTGAAGAGAACGCCCGAGCCCTCGGTCCTCACGCTGTGTGT